TCATTAAGGTAAAACTATAAACATAGTTCTTCGTAAATTATTGATTGGGTGTTACATTAATTGGATTTTTTGGAGAGGATCTGAGAAGGATGTCCATAGTCTGAAGCACAGCACAATCTCCTAATGCTGAAACCTCTACATAATGTCAGTACCAACCATATAAGATTTTACTTAGCCACAAAAGTATATAATAAAACACAAAGGCAGATATTTATGTGACTATTGTTTATCATTCCGCTTAGATGCAATCTACTAAGTTTTGTACAAATTATATTATTGTTTTGATAACTTTGGGGACTTGGGCATGGGAAGCCCAAAGTAAAATATGCTGCAAAGAAAACAGACATTGATCGTAAYGATAACCTAAATGTATCTTATCTTATGAGGGGTGGAAATGGGGGTTATAAGTGGGCACAAATACTTGAATTTTGACACAGAAAGCCCAAGCACTTCCCTATATGAGAAAGACAAATTTACATGGAAAACCTTTTCAAAAAATCTAGGCTGAGAATACTTGTATTAAGTTTGAGGCTCATTGTTGCTTCAAACAAGAGAACCTTTTACCTGTGTTATACTATTTGGACTTTCTGTAGCTTTGCTACCATCAGCTTTTTCTTCTTGTTTGTTATCAACATTGAGACAAAACATTCCAGCAACTGCCTGGTCTTCATTCTTGTGCAATGTCTTGCCAGCATTGATTGTTCTGCATTACAAAATAAATGAAAATATGACAAATTCTTTGTTTGAAGTGTTTTTATTCTGCCATACATACCAGAAGCCAATCTATTCATTTTTATCAAAAATATTGAAAATACCTCCTTGCATACTGGAATATTCCTGGCTAAGTTTCATTGAACARCAGGGTATTGTTGAGAAGGGAACCAAAACATCAATAAAAATGCAACAGACACAGGAGAGAATGTCATTTGAATATTTCATTATCATGTTTACATGAGTGAACTTCTCCATCTTTCATTCATGCATTTCAAGAACATGAAGCATCAATGTGAAAATACCAAGAAAAATTATCTTTCACTTCAAAGGCTTTTGGGATAGTGATAAAAATAAATCATGACATCAACAATTTAAAAGCTTAATTTGGGACGGATTTTTAAATACTCAAGTTCCGGTTTCGAATAGAGGGCAAAGATTAACTTTTGTTCAAGAATGGTGAAAATCCGATTTCTTTAATATACGCACATATTTGTACAAACCTTTACTTTAGCTTATTTACTCACAGGATATACAATGAACTATTCTTTTCTTTCAAGAAATAGATCAATTTATTCAAATAGGTGTCGTGTTATTGATAATAGTCAAATGTAATTAAAGAATACCGAGTCAAATATTAGAGAATAGTCATTACAGATGAGCCCAATATCAGAAATGCACACAAGAAAATGTTTTAATACGGCAAACACGTAAGAACTTTAATAAGAGAAAACTTGAGACGCTTTTCAAGTGTCCGTAACATTCTGATCAACAGTGCAAAGAACAAAATCAAATACTTACTCAGCATAGCCAGCATTCAAAGGCAGCTCTCTGTGAGGAATKAGAATTGGTCTAGCCTCATGGTCGCTTGATGCTTGTTCAGACTCTTCGTTAAGTTGGAGAAACTCCGGTCTTCTGTACGTGTATTTCTCTTCCATTTCRACCATKCCTCCATAAGAACGGAATGTGATTCGCCTGTTATCTGGTGTTTGTCCAACAATATAAGCGAGTGCACTGGCCGGACTAATATTCAATATTCTTCTAATGCCATTAAAAGACATTATTTTGGGATTGGTGGCCAACAAAGAAGTGAAACTACATCGAGATTGATGGAGTAGAAGCTTACCTCAAAAAGAAAACATTGCTATGATGGGGGAAGACCGCTGTACAATTATGCCTCGACTTGATGTACCCGGAAGCAGCCAGTGCGATTGTCGTAACATGGGAGACGGCATTGGGACTGAGAAATGGGATCAATTGAACTGGGAATATAAAAGAATAATCTGAAAATGGAAATTTCAACCACCATTTTGACTGMGGGACTCAGTTGGCTGAAAATTCGCCGAAATTTAAAAGAAACACAGATCCGAGATCCTTTGCGAGTCGTTGATTTGTTTTYAAGGTTAAATCACGTGCTGACGCCGGTAGATTTCTTTTTGTCAGAATTTTTATGACTTCCCTGTTGAGGTCTTAGCTGTACATGTATAACAAATATATAAGAAACAGGGGWGTAGCGTCATTTTAAGTATGGGGTCAGCATGAACAAAAATATCTAAACTAATGATACAGATGATAAGGCAAGGTATTCCATACATCCCGTTATTTTTTTTTAAACCACATATACTGTCATTATATTCTTTTATTAAAATGATCTTCGTTTGAAACGCGTTTTCGAAAGAAAACAGATATGGTTATAGTTATGGTTGATTATTCAAGTCTAAACACATGAAAAAAATAATAATAATAATAAAAAACAAAAGTAAAAATAGAAACAGAAACAGAAACAAAACACATGTGGTTTCAAATGTATCCGAAAACTCTAAACACAACCTTCAATAAGTAGTTGCATTCCACTTCTAAGAAGAGTCCAAATTTTTCAGGTAGAACTTGCGTATCTGCCCATAGAACTCTATGCAACTGGAGAGAATATTGTAATATTTTGCCAAGTTTTGAAAGTACAGAAATTGATCRGATGAACGAGATGACTGGTAGATAATAATGAGGGCAAAAATAAAAGTAGAGGAAGGTTAGGAAAAAAATGTAATGTAAAAAGATAGATGATGAAAAATTGATTAAATCATTAAACCTGAATTCGATCCCGGGGCCCTATCGATTGAATAACAGCGCCTTAACGAGTTGCGCCACTGAACCACGCTCATTTACATAATAATAGGCCACTTGGCACTTTCGCCGAATAGACTACCCCAATTTGACATTATATTTTCGATAGTTGCCTAGTTAGTGCAAGGGGTTATCCATCAGTGTCTAGGGGCCGGATAGCTTCTCCCTCACTGGCATTTTAGTTAGCGCGAAGTTAGGACCAATTATCGGGATATCATGGAAGAGCCGAAATCTCTAACCGGAATGTAAATCGATTCGACGCCTCAGCTTCACAGAATGTCTCGGGGGAATCGTCCCAACCTTTTTCGAAGTTTTTGTCACGGGTTCGWGTCCCAGTTTCTTGTTGTTGTTTTTTCTTCTTGTTATTGYTCTTCTTTTTCTCCTTCTTCTTAACGTCTCGTTAACTATAGCACCTCAAGATTGAATTACATATTTTACATGAATTGAGAAAAAGGATTTTTTAAGATTAAAATTAATTTATAATTTTTATTAGTTTTTCTTGAGCCTTATATGATACAATGGAAATTCTACATGGAAACTACACGGGTGTTTTTCCTGATGCATGGCAAACGATAAACACTTCGAATATATTTTTGTTTGSCTTCTTTGTACTAACTTTCGTGGTCTTTTAATTTCGCGTAATGGGAACAGGCAGATTTTGAGGGAATCTTTGTAAACATGTGTAAGTTTACTGTTTTATCTCGCTTCGCATCCATCAGCCCTTACTTTCTACTTCAGTTTCCCTTCATTTCTAACATTCTTTAATGGAATCCCCAGCAGACCATGTTGGCGTTCCACACCTCCCTGCTTTGGATGCACCTTTCTGACCAGATTACCCCTCCCATTTATTTACCTCTGTACTCACGAGCAAGTTGATAGACAATCCTCTTACAAGGTCGCTTCAATCAGTGCATTGAAAATTTAACGAACAATGAACGTACAACAAAATGAATGATCACTAGGAGATCCGTGTAAGTGCTTGCAGAGCGTATAGATAAAAGAGAAATTGGCAGTTGAAAAACGCATTTTCTCAATTACCATTTTAATATTATCCACTWGAATAAAAATAGCTTTTAAAATTACAGTAAGTCTGATTATAATACATCCTTTTTGTATATATAATAACTTTCAATCCATAATTCTTAAGAATATTTTAAACGACTAGGACCGAGCGAACCGAGCCGATTAATTCATATCTTTAATCGAGTTGGCAACCAAATGATTTATGAAAATARATTTCTTATAAATTACCTAAAGACCTAAATTGAAATCATATTTTTTCAATTGATTGATAATTCTGGATGACACCAAATCTTTTCCGCCCTGCTCTGCAGTRTTAAATGGAATATTCTGAAAGAATTCCGTCTCTTCCCAGGAGAATACATTGCAAGAAACGTTAACAGAAAAATAGTAGTCAAACTGTCATTAAAATTGTAGTCAGCTTGAAATCCAATAATTACAAATCCATTTGATATAGATTATCTTTTTAAAAAAACGTTATAAAATGAAGAATACATTTTCTAAGATCATGACGTATTAAATGGTAATTTCGTGACGTTGACTGTACGTCATTATCAGCATCTGTTAGATAAAAAAAACTCAGCATCCCTCATAACCTTCTTTTGTTCCTTCACCAGGCAACATGGYATTGATAGCAATATTGTTAATTTCTTATGGGACTCTTGGTGATGTGGTTGCACATCATTAATTATTATAGATTATTAGTCTTTATCAAGGCAATGCCATCATATCCAGCAAAGCATTCACTTTTCTATTGAGCCAAGTCACTTGTTTGGGCAGCAAGCCTTCTAACCAGTCTTTAGGAAGCTCAGAATATCCATATTTACAGCCAAGCAAGGCACCTGCTACAGAGGCATTGCAAGTGGCATGTCCTCCTTGCATGATAAGCTCTGTTATGGCAGTCCTGAGAAGGATGGAACAGTATTCAATGATGCGAGATCTTAAATTCAATCTTAACTTTGATATCAATAAAAAGTTGAAAGGTAAATTTTAGGTATAAGTCCTAACTAATAACTAAAGAGTTAATTGTCATTATATATTGGTATAGAAATACTATAATAACTGGAGAAAGCAATAAATGAGAAAAAAGCAAATGCATGCAACAGGAAGTACACAATGAGGATGTTTTCTTACTTGAAGTCTTTCATAGAACGCAAAGCAACCAGCCCAGCACCAAGTGTTTTGAATGTGTAGTCAATCATCCTTGGTTCACAAAGTTCCAAACTGAAATGACAAAAATGAAAACAAATRAAACAATACCAGGATGAATGAATGAGCAAATGAAAAAAATAGATGAATGGACAAATGAATAAATGAGATGGACCAAAGCTTGCATCTAAMGACTCCATTTCCCACTTACTCATCCCATGTTTGACACTTGAAGTAATGGTTGTAGTCCTTTTGATGATGAATCTCCTTTAGTAGCGCTTCACTCATTCCTTTGACTTTGTCAATCAATTCTTCCAATGAAGACTTGGTCTTGAGATCATATCGACCCTATTATGATAAAAAGTTATTGTGAATTAATAGTTGAGATGGTCTGATTTTCTATTTCATAATAAAAATGGTCATTCCCTTWGTTTTTCTGACATATTTGTTTTAGCAAAGTGCATTGTGACATTGATATGGACATCAAGATGGACTGAGAACAGGAGGAGTCTCTATGCTAATTAATCTTTCACATGAATGAGGATTTCAAAACCTTGATAATAATAAATGGAGTGTACCTGAAGACCTGTCATGTTTGCAAAGCAACCAATGCAACATGATGTTTGTTTGTAATTTTTACATGCAATCCCATGGTGCATCACACAGAGGGTCCACAATAGGGGGTTTTCAATCCCGCAATCCCGCTAATGTTTTTTTTCAATCCCGCAATCCCGTCAGTTTTAAGGTCGCAATCCCAATCCCGCAATTTTCTCTTAATAATTAAGTTAATATAACATCAATGGCATAGCTTCCATATTATTGGCTCTATTTTCCCTCTTCTTTTTCATCTAACCGTCCTCTTGCGTTGTTTGGCTGTACATGTACGAAATGTTTTATGGAACTACTTATTTTGTCCGCTTTAAATGATAAAACAGTTTTTCATTTCTTCTTTGTGGTGTTTATTTTTGCAGCATTACTTAACAAAACAGTCTTTCATTTCGTTGTGTTTGTGTTGTTCATTTTGGTCGCTTTACTTGATAAAGGCTAAACAACTTTAAGGTTCTGAATTGAGATCTCAAGGAGTCGTTGAAAGTTCTTGTAAAGGCTGATAATAATGATCAATTATAACTAGTTAAAAGTTGCTTTGATAACTGATATGACCTTACTATTACACATGCATGTAGATACCTTTATCGTGACATGTCCGCTTTTGTCCAGTAATCGTCCAGTAAGGACAGAAAGGTCAGAGAGGTTATATCTCGTAATAAAATGCACAGGCAGTCTAATAATTAATAGGTAAACTTAGGACGCAGAAATCACGTATCCCGCAGCAAATTATTAGAGTTATCCCGATCCCGTTGCGAAAAAAACGCAAAATCCCGATCCCGCTTGCATTTTAAGATCCCGCATCCCGTCAAAATTTTTGTCCAGATCCCGAATCCCGCCATCAAAAAACGGCTTATCCCGCATCCCGCAAAACCTATTGTGGAGCCTCCACACAGCAAGGTAAAGGAAAAAGACCATTGCAAAACATTTAAAGTAACTTTAAAACTATGGTGTTACAAACCTGGAGAATTAATGCCACTAAAGAACTAAGTGCAATAGAACTGACAACACATCTAAAGATACACAAAAAAAGAAGAAATCATGATTTTAGTCTGTTGGAAGAGGTTTCAAGCTCTTGATAAATTAGACTGCATGTTCACACAAGAACTCAGGAACTGTTCTCATTTGTGACCAGAAAGAGCTGTTTGAACAAGAACCATTCTAAAACAAATATTGCTCAAACTTGACCAACCCATGCCAACATGGTCTAAGTTGTAAAATTAACTAACATGTACCTTGGGTCATAATGTGTTGTCTTGCAAATTCTGCTAGCATTAGATGATATCTCAGATAAATCAAAGAAGTGTGTAACACCAAGTATAGAAGTCCTCATTATTGCACCATTTGAAGGTGATTCAAAGTCTTCCCATACTTTTCTTGCTGTACCATGGGGATCTTTGATGAAATCTGGTTCACATACAACCTGGAAACCAAAACTCAAAATTCATATATCTTGTATCTCCTTAGCCTAATTTTCAAGCATGCCTGATTCTGATGCTAACACCTTCCTAAACTCCACACAGGGAGGAAAAAAGCTTCTGCATCTTACAAAGGCCTATTCAAAAATCAGCTTAATGTCTCCTGGTCATAATGGTAAATATCAAAATTATTTATGGAACTGTTAGCATGCACAGTCTTCTCCACAGTAATGCCAAGAGACTCTTTACATAGGCTATGGAACCTGGCACCTTCGCATTTTGTGTTGATTTTTAGAGTATATAAGAACTGAAAACATAAATCACATGATAAAATTGCAGCAACATACATTATCCCATTAAAAAAAGCATTGGTCATGTATCCTGGGATGATTRGACCAGGTATTATTACCTTSGCCAACACTCCTCTGACTCCTCTGCCAAGATGGTCTCCAAGTTCAGGAAAACCATGCTTGCACCAATTAAGAAGAACTTTAGCAAACTCCAGCTCATCYACAACACCAGCCCAATGTAGAACAGACTCAAGTAACAAGACCTACATGTCACATAAAAGCCATCCTTTGTTAGTTCATGTTATGATACCTAAATGCAATTTATCAAGGCATTTGTAAGGTGATTACAAGGCAATAAGTTTGATGGTATATCCCCGTATTATATAAATCATTATGCTGATAGATGATGCAACTGTATAAATCTAAATCTACTCCATACAAAACATGCTGGTATGCTTTACTTACAGATTGGTCAAAGGTGTCTGTCCAATCTCCCTTCTGCCACTTTGATCTATGTCTATCCATAATCATATGGTCAAAACTTATTCCCTCTGTTTGATAATGAAAYCGGCATTCATCTTGCAAAAGGAATTCTGTGCAAAGTCCAATAGCATCACCTACAGCTGCTCCATAGATGCAGCCAACAATTTTGTCCACAAGTTCATCTGGTGGTAAACKTGTACCATCAGCAGGTGGTCGTAGCGGCGTTTTAGTTCTGCTTGTTGCATTGATATTGGTTTGTGCCTGTACRTACTGTACTCTAGCAGTATCAGGATTACTGTGTGCTGATAGTAAAACATCACCACGTACGCGCGGAAACACATTCTTTGTAACAGTGTTTCTTTGAGGGTTTTTTGGATTTTCTTTTCGAAAGTARGCAAGGATRGCATCTGAACCTTGATTACATATTTTTTGTGGTGGATTTGTGCATTTGTTRAAAAGTGCAAGGATAAGAGAAAGATTTTTTGATTTCCCTAACGAAGTAGGAAGACTTTCAAGCTCGTTATAACTAACATTAATAGATTGAAGGTTATCCATAAGYGCTATATCCTCTGGTAAATTTGAAAGTTTGTTGTGTGATAAATCCACTTTTTCTAGCCTTAATAGTAGATGGAAGGTGGTTGGCAAATCCTGCAGTCKGTTATTATTAATTAGAAGAGTTCTCAAATGAAACAAATAACCAAAGGAATCAGGTAGTGAAGAAACTCTATTGTAGCTTAAGTCGATGTGGACAAGGTGAGGCAAATATGTTGGCAATTCATATGGAATTGTTGAAATACAGTTGCAAGAGAAGTTAATTCTTTCATAAAATGATGTAGTATATATGTCGCCGAGATCATGAGGAAYCTCATGTAGTGCATCTGGGTCATCATCCTTCATGTGCTGCAAAAAAAAATAAAGAAATAAAAAATAACACGATTTCGTAAAAAGGCCAATAAACCAACAATCTTTGCACTTGTCAGCCCTCTGGTGATCATGCATGTTGAAACACTTCATAGATTTGTGCAAAGGTCAAAGAGGGTGTATTATTAAAGCCCCTCATCTGGATAGCCAAAACAAAAACGCGGAAACTGCAATGTTTTGTCTAGTATAGAACAATAACAAACACTACACGCTGTTGTTCAAACGGCCAATAATTAAAGCATACAAAATACTGAAAGAATCATATTGGATTTTATCTTCCATAAAAAATTACAGAGGAAAAGAAACACTTTCAAGGTGAGAGATTATAATTGCAAATTCCATTAGTCATCTTTAAAGACAGGTGTGAGCGTAATTGAGGAGAAACACACAACATCAATTGACATTCTAGGTTAATATTTTAAGTTGCATACTTTCTGATACTCTTCGTAGCTCAAAGCTCGGCTCAAGTCCAGTTCCCGTGAACAACTTCCATCCAACTGACCGGTGTTCACCTTAGCAGCTGATTCAAGGTTCCCCATCACATTTCTTCATACGCCCACTTCGTATGTGAATTATTGGAAAGCCATAATATACCGTATGAATTTCTATAGCATCTTGTATTGTTTAATCCATCTCATCARCTGAATTTTGACAAAAAACTCAGACTTGATTACCAAAATTTGGATTGTTCTTTTTAAGTGAACCGCTGTTCAAAATGCTTTCTTTTGTGAAAATTCAAACAAATAACTTCTTTAGAAAGTCAGATGTGATTGGATACCATCTTATATATAAACCAATCAAAATCACTATAGTTTAGATAGATGTCATCAAAACGAGACAAGTGATGAATCACCAACAGAACAAAATGGCGGACGAAGCTGAACACAAAAGTGAAAATACAGCTGATTTTGGTTCAGATGAAAAAGGTTTGTATAGTACACTTCGCATGAGTGTTGTCCTTTACTTTCTCCTTCCCCAAACCTCGCATATGATGGGAAATAAGTATTTCAAGTAGGTATTTAGCTTTCAATTTCATATTTTTCATTTGACACGAGACAGAAACATATGACAATTTTGGATTGAGATCGCTAAGTCGAAACTCCATTGTATTATATCGTATATAAGCTTACTTATTACTTACTTTTCTTCTCCCTACGATCAAAAGTAAAAAATATACCGATCAAAAGTTTAGAGAGAGTTTAGTGTTTTGAGCATGAAACACCTTCAAACCTTAATGTAAACTTTCAAGCTTTAGATTAAACTACCTGTGCTGTTTGCGTCCTCTAAACATCAAAGACCATTCATGTTTGTTCGAGCGTTGAATAGATAACATTTGCGTGCCCATAAGCTTAATTATRTTATTAAACAGGTCACGCAAACTGCTTCCTTTGATTCATACGATTTAAAAGCTAAAGAAGATCACCACCGCGTAGACTTCAATATCATATCTTTCAAAATTTCTTATAATTTTATGCAATTTTCAAGTCAGTTTGTTTCAATTTTCATTTAAATRCTTCAAATTATTATTTATCATGTTTCACCTTTCAAATCATGTGGAAAATTATTGTTTTCCAAGAAAGATAGAACATGACAAGCGAAACATAATATAGAAATTCTTGTATGTTTAGTAACATTTTGTTATTTTTTTCCATATTAAGTGATTGAAACAGAAACAAATCTGAGTGAAGAATTTAATGAAATTGAAGCTAAAGAYGACAGAAAAGAGGAAAATGCTAGTGATGATGAACTAGAAAATGATCACTTAATGGTTTACGAAACAGCAGATGGTCTCACTATCCTGGACAGTGTACCAGCCTGTAGTTGTCATCATGGTCATGATAGTAATCATGATGCAGAAAGTCCCAGAGGTATAGAAGCAAAATACTGGGGCAGCACAGATTTGGAAKGGGGCAGGTGGCTGTAGTTTTCCCAACTTAGTCAGAATGATCATAATTTCTGCATTTTGATGTATATTATGTAATATATTTATATGGGATATAGGGTAGATTTCCTTATGAGAGTTCAACAACTTTCCCACGTCTTCGATATATATATGACACAGAAAAATATAATCTGACACTAGATTTTCTCTGTCTTCAGATGAAACCATTCCTGAAGATTCTGATGGAATTCCAGTCGACAGCAGTATATCAGAGGAATTAATAATGAATTTAGAAAAAATGAGAAGAGAGGAGGTAGTAGATTTGCCAGAAACTGTAACAAAGCTGACAACAGCTGATGGATGTATAGTGTATCTTGTTGGGACAGCTCATTTTAGCAAAGAAAGTCAAGATGATGTAGCAAAGGTAACTTATAGACATAAATCTGCTTATTGCAACTGTATAGTTTTAGCACTTGGCAATATTCATGGTGTTACTAGCTGTATTACGACTAGTATAAGATCTCATTCACTAGTAGCTGCTAATATATAAACAATACAACAAACCAACAACAATGCTGGGAGCTCTGTGTCCAACTTGCATTTGATATATTTTCTGTGCAGCATTGGTATTAAATGTGAAGTATAGTAATAGAGAAATAGGATCCTGGCTTTACTTTACTTTACTTTTTTCAAGAAGATAAGGCAGAGTGCAATTGTGATCGAATACCTGATTTTTAAAGTGAGGCTGTCATGCCACTACACATGCGCGTGATCAGACAATTTTATTCTGAAATTGAAATTTGGCATTTGCCCCCGTGACTCGACTACTTTTGCGCCAAAGCAAAATAGACATTTCTCATTGATTCTTTTGAATTAGGAACGACAGTTACTGTAACATGCAATTACCATGACAGACTCACTCTAACCGCTAGATTATAATTTTTCTCTCAAGACRGTACTATAACATATTATTTTTAAACAGTGCTATGATTTAGGCAAGGAAGTTTACATGCAAAGCTGATATATTCTATGCTTTGTTGTTCTCAGACTATTCAAGCAGTAAAGCCAGATGTTGTCGTTGTGGAGCTGTGTAAAAGTAGAGTGGACATACTAAAACATGATGAAGAATATCTTTTACGAGAAGCTAAAAATATTGATGTCCAAAAACTAAAATTTGCTATAAAGCAGGTAAATTCCATGTGGAATCTAATTTGGAAATAGTTTTTAGCAATAAAAGACTCCTATAAGGGCATGTTTGTCATATATTTTGAAAATGATCCCTTGAAAGGAAACATATTTCCTTTCAATGATAGGATTCCCAGGTGAGTCCTTTCTGATCCTAAAATGTACCAACTTGAAACCTTTGTTGTTGACCTAATAGGATTGAGAAGGACTTAAATGGACACTGTCAATGGATGACATGCGCAGTAACAGTCTCACCTCTAACAGACTTTGTGTTTTCAAGTTTACTAGCGCATGCATGCCATTGACAGTGTCCCTTTAAGGCCTTTTTCTGCTTGGTCTTCCCCAGCCCCATTAAGGCTGGTATGCAGACAAACTCAAAAACAGTACCATTACCATTTTTGAGAATTTTGGATGAAGGTATAATATGCAATATGCAGTCTGCTTCTGGTCACTTCTGGCTTTTTTAAATTAAAATTGTTGACGAAGGAAAAAAAGCTTTTAAAAGTGCCAGATCGATGATTTTGATCCAACAAGGGTCCAACAAGCATCCATATACCCTCTTATATATAGGAATATAGGAGTTCTGCTTCTATCTAGCTATAGTATTATGGATTGAAATATTAATTAAGTTATTTGACTTGAAAAAAAGTCTCACTGATCCATTGTATTTTAATATTCGTAGAGTGGTGTTGTTGGAGGTTTGATGCAAGTACTTCTGTTAAGCATGTCAGCACACATAACAAAACAGCTTGGAATGGCTCCTGGTGGTGAATTTAGAACTGCTTACAATGAAGTAAKCCATGTTCTTCTTTAGTCAGAGTTTTATCTGTTACCAGCAMAATGTGTTTTGACCACAGCATTGATTCTCATTCATATTTTCTTTATGATAGGCCAGAAAGATTCCAGGATGTCAAATACACCTKGGTGACAGACCAATCCAGGTAATTCAAATTCAGGTTTTCAAAACCATTCAAACTCTAAATAAAACTCAGAGCTGCTGAAAGTAAGGAATAGTTTTAAGGGCTAAATGATGTCATTATTAAAGTGAAACCATGATTTTCCATCCCCATGACTCCGTCTTAATTTCTGATAATAATAGTTAATGTAGAAGAGGGGCAAGATAAAGACACTCTATGAATTTATTTATTTTGTATTTATTTTTTTTCAAAGATAACCTTATCAAGAGCTATGGGTGCTTTAAGTGTGTGGCAGAAAATGAAGCTTGCCTGGCATTTATTAACTACGAAACAAGCTATAAGGTACAACAATGGATATTTATAGGATAGTGATATTGATAATAAATGATATAATACAGCAATATGCAGAAATTATGATCATTTTGAATCATATTCCAAGTATATATAAAATATATCAGAAATTATGGGATATCATCACCAGTATGTTTTTCAGAAAGTACTAGTGCTAGGCAACTTAAAAAAAAATATTGGCGATGATATCCCATAATTTCTGATATATTTTATATACTTGGAATATGAGTCAAAATGATCATAGTTTCTACATATTGCTGTATTATTAATAAAGTATATGAATTATATGATAAAAAGAAATGAATTGTTTTTATATTGTATTCTTCCAGTAAAGAAGATGTTGAGAGATGTAAACAAAAAGATCTTCTTGCTGAGATGTTGGCTGAAATGACAGGCGACTTCCCTTTGCTCTATAAAGTTTTTGTGTCAGAACGTGATAGATATCTTGCCAGATCATTGCGACTTTCATCAATGCCAATTGCAGTTCATAACCAAGAGGGAGGTATGGAGAAATTTTATATTTGGGCCTCTTATATATTTCACATACATGATTTATATGTTTATCTTTGAATATATCATTTATATTTCATATTTTACTGTTTTATAGAGTTTCAAGGTGTTATTCCAAGTGTTGTAGTTGGTGTTGTTGGAATAGGGCATACTGCCGGAATTGCAGACAATTTTGACAAAGAAATTGATGTTCAAGACTTACTAAAGTAAGTTTGCATTATTCTGGGGAATGTCCTGAAATATTAAACCTATGTTTCCACCCAATTCAAAAAGACAAGTAGCTTCATTGCTAAGTTCCAATGCTGTTTTCTTCATTGTAAGTTTTCTTCCATCATATGCTAATAAGCCCCCTAAATAYATAACCCACCTTTGGGTTCCTGGAAAACAACTTAGAAAACGAAGATCTAGACTGTACATTGAGGTTTTTTAATGGCTAACTCCTTCCTGGTCTTTTCTSACAGGGTTCCAGGACCAAGCAAGACAGGTAGATTAATCAAACTGTCTCTAAAAGCTCTAGTTGGTGTTATCCTTGCTTGGGGATCATATAAAATTTTTAAGTGGACAAATATAGGGAACTATCTACAGTGGTAGAATTGATTTTAATTGCAATTTAATTTAATTGAAAAAGTTTTAATTTTTATTMAATACTATGACACGTTAAATTTTACACCATTTTACCCTGACATGCAATATCAAAATATACCATCCATATATCATTAATTTATTCACAGACTTTCAAAAATGAACTCAATCACGTTTATGTGTAATCSGCAAATACAGTTCCTCGAATCATTCGCTGCTAATTCAAGCACGCGTGCGCGCGTGCGCGATTGCTTTTTGGCGCGCTTYGTGAGGCAGCTGTAGTCGCATAGATCTTGTATGATATGTCTTCATAACCAATGTGGAAAGGATMAATATTAACTCAAACCAAGGATACGAAAACATTTTCTTGGCAATTATATTTAGTTAGGTTTTTCTTATTTTTCCTTTATACGAAGTTAGTTTATTACACCGTACTATTTTATTGGTAATGTATTTGTCATAAAATGCACACTGCTTCTGTTGGTTGAGAATGTTTTGTAGCCTTGGTTTAAAGACGTTCTGTAAAAAAATAGATTAAGCTAATAGCGACGAAGAGAAATAAAGACAATAGAAGGTGACTAAATAATGCTTTCAATTCTTAGACTGAAAAACGGAGTCAAAAGACAAAGATCGAAACTAAAACAAACAATAGATTTAACCAATCTTGAAAWGGTTGTCCACCTAAAGGGACATTGCCAATGTTCCAATGGTCCCGGCGTGTCTTGAGATATATTAAGTTTCTGCACAATCATGATGCAAAGGGATTGTCATTTCTCCACTAAAACACACCTGACATTCTAGACCATTTTACAAGAACGAGATCTGAATATTTCGACAGATATTTTCRTAAGTCCCATGGGAATTGGAAATGCCTTACTAGTTGGATAACTGTTTAGATATGGTTGTGTGTAAATCATTTTAAAATCAGTTTTTTTGCAAACGAGTGTAACAACGTGCCCTCCCAGAGTGATGACCATAATTGCTTAATGGCAACGCCTGAAGAGCAAGGAGAACTAATTACTATGTGGTAAATCATAACTCATGGAGAATAAAAGAAAAAAGAAGATATTTTGGCTTTTGAAAACCWCTGTTCTCGTCAATGACGCGCATGTAGTCAAGTTTCACAACTGGACTAAGTACACCGTTCATCACCATAGACCTCGTGACCTCAAAGCGATCAGCAAAGCAWCTTCACCTTTACAATGTCAATGTTGCAAAGTGTGCCTGTTAGGGGGGCGCAGCTATTTTATGGGTTGTCATTGCAAATCTGCACATCAAAGTGCAATAAAAACCGTAAACCGCGTTGCAAAATCAGCAAATCCGCAACCAAGAGATATAAAAATATTCACAACCGTAAACCGCCACAAAAAAAAAAAAAAAAATGAGACCAATACCGAATCGCAACCTCTAAAATCAGTTGAAACCTGTTAGCTGCAAACTTTGTACTTCAAAAAAAATCTGAGCTATCTTTTCGGCGAGTGCGATATTGACGTCATTGAAAGTACAATTACATAATCGCTGTCAGGTTAGAAAACACAGAAGCAAGAAGAGCAATGACCACAAAGATGTGGTAAAAATTAAAACCAGTACCAGATATCTTTACTGAAAGATAMTGAAACGATTAAGAAGATTATATGTATTATCGTGTTTGTCATTGAGATGTAAAATACAATCCGGCATGCTCGAGAAAAGGAGAGAGAAGGAGACGATTTTTAGCTTTCATCTCACTAAGAATTCACTCAGGCATAGTGTTTTTCACCGGACTGTGAACAATTACAAAGATCATTATGTAATCACTATAATAGATGCTTAAAAAGAAGTGTCTTTCTTTTGTTGGGATATGTAATTTAGTAATTGATTAACATGTCCTATGAAAGTCAAATGGTGCAAACAGACGTCCCTGAAAAGACATAGTTTTGTGTCACGGATTTGCAGCGYGCGTCATATATTCGTTCTCAGTATACTGTAGTTCAACATATTTTTCWTTGTATGWCATATGTATGATGTTGTATTTAGTCTTGCGTCATTTTTCACGTCGGAAATCTGTATAAATCTGGTTGATATCTTAATACCGGATGTGATGCAGATAGAGAGACTTAATCGTGCTACACAAACTTCTGCGGTAAACGTTTGAATGTTTTTTTTAATAAAGAGTGCACATTTCATGCAGTCTTTTTTCTGGAGATTCCACAGTGACTGTCTGAAAAGCAGGCTGTAGATGAAAATTGATTTCCATATTTGCTTTTTCGCGTATAGAAAGACTGATTTATAATCTTCAATATCAAATGAAACAGTTGGCTGCTATTCATAAGAAACTTGCTGTTCGTTTATAATCGTTTGAGAACTTATACTGATTTACCATTGTCACGTTGGGGTACTTTGTACTATCACTTCCGATCACGTAGTACATACCAACACATCACCATAAAWTAATCATATCTGACAAATATGGAAAACGGTAGTCGATCGTTTTCATTCAGTTGCACTCGACTCTTCCAAACCTCCYGCTCGACCTTTGCTCTACGAGAAGTCCAAACGACGTGCAGAAGAATGCTGAAGAKTCTATGATATCCGTTGTCCAAATATATWTCACACCGCCCCTWTTTTCTGTGGTTCCGCATAGAAAATGAAATGTCGTCTCAAGTGTTAATCAAACTTTAAAAAAGTGGTTATTTTTCGTTTTACACATTCGGACTTAAAATTTAAAATATAGTGACGCAATCATCACCKTGTTATATTGCACACGATAATTGATTACAAAGTGTTAACAGCTCTATTGAAACCAGCACARGCTTTAGCTTAATAATCCATTAATGCTTCGTCTCAAAGTATTTAAATTCAGTRATTTTCAAATTTCCTTCTTTTTTTAAAGGATTGTGAACAAAAATAACTTCGAGCCAATATACCTTTTAAGTGATACTTGAGTGAGYTGAAACTCCCMAAAAAAAAGCATAACAATATTTCTATTTTTGATATAGGTTCCTGTTTGCATACGGATTTTGCAACACACCCAACTTCATTTTCTGGATCTTTCTCGATCATAGCTCTAGATCATACTAGTAAGCTTAAGAGTAAGATAATATGCGAAAATGATCCCTCTAATATTTTAAAATCTATGTTGATMAAATGTGTTATACGTGGATGCCATGGCACAAATGTAAATAAATATGTTAACGTGCCGGATGCGAAATACGTGACGTCATTGCTAACGAGCAAACGTCACGAAGTGTACACCTTTGTTACAAAATGGCCGCATTTCCATTGTTCTTGCTCACCCAATACCACAGCGTAGAAAGCCACTTCAAAGCGTCATGACGCGAGTGACATGTTTTGGCTATAAAATGCCGAGAACTCACGAGGAGCACAGTATGACAGAGCACACTTCCTCAGTGCAGTTATGAAGATGAGCACGGCGATAGTGAAGAGATTCTCGAATCACCAAAAGAAAATGAATTCAACAGAGCAAAACAAACCAACAATGGATTTACACGAAGCAGTTGTTGCCTCAAAAGCAGCAAAAACACTAAGTTTGTTCAACAGAAACTTACAAAAGAAAACGGTGAAGCTGGAAGAGGGTAGTCCCCCCAAAACAATCAAACGCTACCTTAAAACTATGACCAAATCAACGTTTCGTGGAGATGTGGAAAGCAACACTGATACAATCGATTCAAAGGAAAAACAGAGGCGAATTGATCTCGGGAAGGTCATGAAGAAACTCTATCTGCTAATTGAAGCAGGGAAAGCCTTTTCCAAGGAGACTGAGGAAACCTTGGGGGAACTAGCACATTTACGGTCAGCTGGGAATTATGTCATCCTTGACAAAGATAGTTACAAAGACAAACTAAGCAATGAATACAAGCGCTTTCTCGACTTAAGAGAAGATTCGATTTTGAAGGTTGAAGAAAGCAAGACAAGTACGAATCCAATGAAACCTGTTGCACCATTGCATCACGATGACTTTTGGGGCACGAGGCAACAACTACGGTCTGGCAAAGTCGTTGGTGATATGCTCGGCGGCATTGACCCGGTCTTTGGCGCACTTTTAAATCCAACAGGTTGGTAGAGTTTTGTTTATTAGTGTAGATGAAACGAAACTGCGTATACGTTCTATAACCATGACTTTTATCAATTGCGCATAGACTTTCTTTCGTATAATTGCCCCAGAGTGGAAACGCGAAAGGACCTAAATTCTTGTATGCCAAATAACTTGATTCACTTTGGTTTACAAAACATTTCCTGTGAAATTAATTTCATTTTGCATACCAAAAGTTGCTGAAATACTTAAGCTGAAGCAATATATCAATCAACACGTGTCTCAAGTGGCGTCAGTCTCTCCGCGGGAGAACTCATTGCAAATGACTAAAAAAACACTTTATATTTACTTTTCTTGTAAATCCGATTAAAAGATAATGTTACAGACAGTAAGAACATGATATTTATTCAAAAAAAACGAGAAATGTTAATTGATTACTTTTCTTTTTGACCAGGTGGACGGATCGGAAGAGGAGACTCTGAAACACTTCACAATATGCTTTACAAGAAAGACGATCCTTTGGCATATCACGCTGCAGTCCATGATGCCTTTGGTTACCTCATTCAACATCATGGCAAAGGTCCCGGCTATAACTACCTCAATACAAGGTGGACGTTCTTCCGAAAAGAATCTCCCATGTCATGTCAAGCAGCCGGAGTGAAGTTCTGGAAAAAAGCTTTGAAAAGAAGACCAGTGGAGAAAGAATTTTAGATTAACTTTATTTGTGTGCATAAAATATTGAACTGAATCAAAAGTCAGTTTTCTTTCTATTTTCTTTGTGTCTTCTATCGGACATATTCTTTGCTAGTTTTTCCATGTACATAGTAAATATCAAAGTATTATAGAAGTTTAATAGAATTATTTTATTACATTATATCAATAATATTATATATTTTATTAATAGTTAGGTATGAATGCATTGACATATTGACTACAGGTGGTGGATTATTATGTAACGAATTATTTCTTAGCCAGCTGTGCAGAAATGSCAATTAAGGTTTTGTCAGTTAAGTTATGTAAGGGATTCATAGCCTTAGGTGATCATGCTTATCGAGTATATGAAAAAGTTGACTTATTTGAGTAAAAAATAAAATACGCTCATTTTTCAAAGTTTACGTCCCTTTGATGGACTTTTCAGACCTCGTCCACGCATCAGTATTCTCCGCCGTCACTGAGCAACAAAAAAAAAACGTACAAAAATTCATATACATGCAGAAAATGCAGCAAAAACAATAATCCTTGGATGACGGAAAATGAAAATGTGGTAACTATAATTAATATGACAGACTATGGCATGCTTCAAGGAATCCAGAAAAGATGAATGATTAATTGAAAACCACATAGAACTCAAACATAGGATTGCAAATACCGTAGTTTTATATGAGCATTCCACATAACTTGCCAAGTTTCACAGATGACATGCTTTTTTTGATCAACAAAAACATCGGCCAATGAAAGAAAACRGGTGGGGGACTAGCTCAAATGGTAGAGCGCTCGCTTAGCATGCGAGAGGTACCGGGATCGATACCCGGGTTCTCCAGTATTTTTATACTTTATTTTTCTATTTTGTGTAGATTCCTAGCTTAGGTCCTTTATGGATTCTTTCAGCCAAATACAAGCCTCGAAAAAAGACTATTTGCTAGCTAGAATGACTTGTGGGATTCCTGTTTAATTTGGAATTCACCGATGAAGAAAACAATTGAAAATCCAAATTCTATTGCAAAAATGTTATAAAAATGGCTAAAAGAATTATAGAAATGGAAAAAAAAGATCTAATGAAAAAAAGTATTTGCCATGGAGAACCCGGGTATCGATCCCGGTACCTCTCGCATGCTAAGCGAGCGCTCTACCATTTGAGCTAGTCCCCCGACGATGTGTATTAGGGTTAAATTGACCATATATGAACCCTATACAATGTGTTTTGACGTCATCCAGACCTTACGCATGCACACTGGGATGTTCCACTTCCCTTCGCTAAAATCAAAGATGGCGTTCTTTGGGAAGGCTTTACGGTGTTGTATCAAGTTTTTTCAGTGGATCCCAGTAGTTTTCATCAATTCAGTCATCGTCTGGTCGTACTATGCATATGTATTTGTATTATGTTTTGGTAAGGATGCTCCGCTTTGCAGATCGATGTCAAAAGTKGTCGATATTTTTKGTCATTGCTCGATCACCATGAAATGTTTTAATTCTGAAGATGTTTTGACGACTATTTTGTGATTCCATTTCAGAAAACGTCAATTCCAACATTGAGAGAAGTAAGCTGAAAAAGTTATTACTAGATATAGTAAAGATTTATTAGAATGCATACGACAATAAATGTTTTATAAAGAAAATCTAATGAAATTTAAGGTTTTGTTAAGCCTTTTAGGCAGTAAGCTTAATTTTTACTTTATATTAATTCAAAGCTTATAAATCACTTTGTAAAATATTTGGTTTTGCTTCTTTTTTCTTTAGCTATTTACCTGGTCTGTTACCACCCTTTCTTTGTAATGCTGATGATTTCGTACTGGAGAACAATAATGACAGAACTCAAACCTGTTCCTGGTCAGGTAAGCTGAAGTTGTCTCAGCTGTCGCATACAATRAGAATACTGCATGGAGATGTTTATATTTCGTTCTTCTTGCAGTTTGTACTTTCTCGAGAAGACAAAGAAAAAATTGAAAACGGGGTAAGGCTTGAGATGAACAGATAAACAACCTTTGAATGATGTGCAGTAGTTTAAAGTTCACATTTTAGTACAGTCAAAACACAAAACAAACAAATATTTTGCTTAGAATTTATTATTTTTGAAGTTTTGTCAATGATTATGGACAACGTTGGAAAGGCCGAGAGGCATCTTAGTAGAGGGACTCTATTTAACTCTTTATTGTTTACAAAACCTTTTTGGATTGCAGCATATCACATAACTCAATGAAAATTGAATGAATAAGCAATTAACACAGTCTCATATTTTCAGTCCCTACATTTAGTGCACACCACAAACAAAACTGATAAATTTTAAATGACAATARCTATTTTGAAAGTAAGGTGTTGAATAGCACATTACTGGTATCTAACARGGCTGGAAATAATGGCTGGGCATGTGGTTGGTTTGTTTTTAGAAAATACCTCAAGAACCAATCCCTTCCTCATTGCTGCAGTAAACATTTTATGTACTATATTGTACACCAATAATTAATATCATCCCAGATAACATTAATTTCTTGTTTCTTCATTTGACAATATTCTTTGTTCTGTAAATGTAACTCAAGGGAAGACAGGGGGAATCGCTCAAACCACCTTGACTTGTTATTGGATACCTATAGATGAGCTTSTTTTTCATTTTCTGTAGGAAAATGCTAAAGAAATATTGGAAAGAATATCAAACAATCTCCCAACTTGTACTAGGACTGTCTCAGGAGGTATGCATACATCATAACTTTTTTTCTATTGATTCCCTTATACTTATATAACCCTACCTCTTATACCCCTTCATGGATAGATACATTTGTTTATTCCAGTATCACTGAATTGTTAGCATTATTGAAGTATTATTATTTGATGTTTCCAGCTGTTCGTTATTGTGATATCTGTAACCAGATTAAACCAGATCGATGTCATCACTGTTCAATGTGTAGAAAGTAAGTCATCTTTAATGGAGAAAGATACCATGAAATGTGTTAGTTTATACCCTCTATTACAAAGATTTTATTTCTKAGCTTTTACCCAAATTGCTCATCTTCAGGACTGTATTGCAAAGTTTTCCAAATTTAGCACTGAGGAAGAGAAATTTGCTCACATCTCACTATAAAGATTTTCTTTATCCAAAGTAACTAAACATTGTTACTAAGAAACACTTTAAAGAAATTTCTATCAAATCTGGTAGTCATTTTCATATTAATGTAGTTAACTTGTAGCTACCTGTATATCATAACACTTCATCCAGTCAATATTAATCAGTTTTATTTCAAATATTGCAGGTGTGTACTTAAAATGGACCATCACTGCCCTTGGGTTAATAATTGCGTGTGYTTTTATAACTACAAATTCTTCATCTTGTTCCTGTTCTATGCAATCCTTTATACATTATATATAACTGCCACAGTTACAAAGTACTTTGTTGCCTTTTGGAGGGTATGTATTATTTTGTTGTTATAATATAGGTTCAGATATTGATGACTTTCATAATGGCTAATACTAATTAGCATATTATATTTGCTAAAAAAGTAATAATGTTSACAAAAGAAAACACTTGGATGATAGATATCARAGCTAAAGTTCTGAAAKTTTCACAGAAAAATATTAAGTCGTCTTGAAGTTATAAGGGTGAGACGAAGCAAAAAAACTCCAAATGACGCTACCAGAAGGCCTCATCGACTTGTAACTTTGTTGAGGGCCTGGCTATTTAACAAGAATACATGAAGCTTGCTGCATGTATCTTCAATGTTAGCTATCCAAGGCTAGCTATCTTGGAAACGATGTAGCATGAATGTGCAGCTAAGACAGAGTCATGTTTTGCATTTTATAGTGTTTGTAATACTCTTTATTTCTTACTATTTTAGAATACACTTGAAGGTGAAGGAAAACTGCATATATTATTTCTATTCTTTGTGGCTGTRATGTTCTGCATCAGTTTGTGGTCATTGTTTGGCTACCATATTTATCTTACAGCAACAAATAAAACAACATTAGGTGAGCATTAATAGGTTTACCTAGAATAATAATTGGACAGGAATCACTTCAAGGTAATAATTGCAAACTTACCCTCCTCAGTTAGCAACTCACTTGTATATTGGAGTTCCTGTGTTAAAGATAATAACTTGCGGATGAGGTCATTTCAGTGCAGTCAAGTTTCATTATAAAAGATTCCTCCTTCACCATAATGTTGTCTAAAAAATTTTCATTTCTATGATTGAAAGCAGAGAGTTGACTTTTATTTTGGTAGTCACAAGGCTGACTTATTGATATTACAGTAATGAATTACTTAATTTTATTCAGAATCCTTTAGAGTTCCACATTTTATCAATGGTCCAGATAAAAAGGGCTTCAATCTGGGAGCGACAATGAAGAATGCTGAACAAGTATTTGGAGTAAATAGGTTGTTATGGTGTGTTCCAGTTTTTACAAGGTATGTCACAATATTATTTTGGGTAAACTTTTGACCTCCAGCAGTCAAATGGTGATTGCTTTATGGTGCTTTACACWGATTCCATAAGTCGTAGTTTTTGCTCTTARGATATTTTGTTTGYTGCTCAAACTAGYRTTGGACAGTGAATGACAAAAAATCTAACAGAGAGCAAACTGGGACTGACTTAAGGAATTAGTCTATTTGGTGCTTTTGCTGCTGTCAAGCAAAATTTAAACTTTCGARACTTCTCTTTTGGAAAGTCTGAGYATCCACARCTCTTAGATTTCTTTTGTATACTGGTTCTGATTCAAGGGACAAGTCTCAAAAGTAGTTTGATGAAGTTGGTGGAGTTTTGATGAGTTTGGAACCAATGGCTAMCTGTYAAGGTGTAGTTTAGAACTGTAAAAACGAGAAGATAACTTTAAAAGAATTAATAAATTGATTAATTCAGTTGATTGATTAATTTGCAGCCTTGGTGATGGAATTCGATATCCTCTCAACCATCTTCCAGAAGCAGATTCGTTGCTAGGTAACCGATGGATGGAGGAAGGTGGTTACCAGGACCGTGATGACAATGAAGAGAAATTAATGAGAAATGTAGATAGTGTACACRGTTCATCTGAAGTCAGTGAAGTCAATGAATTGGATCCTACAGTATCAGTAAACACACGACCCGATGTATTGGCCATTAATGTTGCACCATCTCAAGACGATGACGACACAACGCTATAGTATTTTGTATGAAAAAGAATTTTTTGTATATTTTTTTGTAATTTTAGTTATAATTTTGTTTTCAATTATTATTATTTTTGTAATAATAATCGTTGAATGGCATTGCTAAAATGTCTTCACATAAAGAGATTTGCAGTCAGAAATCATATGGCACAGTTCCGAGATGAAAAATGTACARAGGATCGTAACTCTATTAAGTCTAATCAGTGTATAAGACACRTTTTCCAAAATATTGTTCTCACTAACCTACATTTCAATATTCACTTGATAAGTTGGCTTGCTTCTTATTGATCGGAATATTTTAAAGATATATATCGACTTTTTTGCATGCTTTGGATTTCATATTGCAAGTCACAATCCCCACTGCTTGATAATGTAATGTACTATAGAAATGAAGCTAAAAAAATGACGGGGTTGGGAATTATTAGATAATGGTAATAAGATTAGACGATTTCATGAGGACATGGAATTGGAGTGATCGCACTTAAACCGTGAAACTGTACAAACTAAATAGTGCCATTTAGTTGCATTTAGTAAATCGTGCACGATAATAAATGGTTGTAAAATAAAGACTTAACGCATTTGTAGTTTATCAAAATAAAGACACATGAAGCATTTCTAGTCAACTAAAAGACACAGGACGCTTTTCCAGTGAATTCGGATGCAAAATTAAATTGATACAAATGAAGCATTCAATACCGTAAGATGTACTTCTGATACCGTACAATTCGATTTTGTACAGTTGCACGGTTTAAGTGCGATCACTCTGATAGCGCGGTTCATAATAAAACCTTTAATTGCCCTATTTCATTTTGACGTAACAGTATATAAACATCGGGGAAAGATGCTCAAAAAGTGGAAATTGGAATGCATTTAGAGAGTAGAACTTCATTGTATCGCGTTTTGATATACGCCATGTATCAAAGATTGTTCATGTACATTTTATTTGACATGCAGTCACTCTGATCCCGTCTGGCGACCATAATCCTGTGATACCATAATGAAATAGGGCAATTGTTTATKTTGCTGAAAACACACTCGATCGGACGTTTTAGTGTATGTAAAATCATTTGCAAAACGTTGGATCTCACGTGTACATAGCTGAGTATAGTTGGACAACGAGTTTTTGACAATGTCCACGATGAAATATACATAATATATAAATATTGCAATAGTTATTATTATAATAGCCTAATAATGGTTCACAATTGATTGTTAAATAAGTACACTAAATAAATAACCTAAATAATCTTGCTTATCACGAAGATTTTTTTCAATAACAACTTAGACTTAATTACCAAGTACCAAAGAAAAATTGCCGTATTTAATTCGGGTGTTAACCATTGTAATAACAACTGAGCACTGAACCATGARAAAAGACAGGAAGAGGAAAGGTTTCTTCTGAACATATAAACTAATTGCACTGTTGACAAGCTGAATTAAAACAATTCAATGTAAAAATAATCCRCCCACTTCCCAGTAGCTCCCCTGTAATGCGACTAAGAAGTATCGCTCCGGATACGYAGCAGCGTGTGTAGATTTGCGTACCGAAGTCTTTACAKGATGCTTAGAGAGGTTTAAAGTCGAAGAGAATGTGCACAACGTTTGCCATGCATACCACATGGCATGGAGCCTTGCTTCGACATAAATGGTTSGTATACTCTAATTTCAAGTATTAATTTTAAGAGCTAGGATTATGAAAAGACTTCAAGTGAAAGTAAAGGGAAATGTTGCTTTCTAGAAAAGGGAAGGGTATTGAACACTTCTTCTTAACAGTTAATTGAAGAGTTTCCCGCCATTTTCCTGTTAAAATACACCATTCACGAAAGCCGGAAATTCTAACTTTCCAGCCAGTATGCTTTCTTGACTTTATTAGTAGACAATGGACAGCGGGAGTAACCAACAGCAAAAATAATAACAGCTTTTCCATTCTACAAAACCTTTATTCTTAACATGTCGTATAAAATCTTCACAGAAAACCAAGGTGAATCCTTACAAAACTGGACATAATCACTCTAGGTCAGTTAATGCATCCTCTGGCATTCATAAGCCAATAAATAATAATAATATAATAGAAATAGCTCTTAAATAGTACTTGTCCAGAGTGTTCACTAGCAACTTAGTAGGTGYCTTACGCCTGCTGTGCAACTGTGCAGTTTTTTTTATAGGTGATAAACGAAAATCGCATCTCAACTTTCTCTCGACTTCATTAGTCTGGATAACCTAATGTTTAAGAACTACCCAMGATCCTCTAGGGCAAGATGCTTTGCGCGTGTCTAATTTTCATTCATGAAGAAATGAAAGAAAATGATTTGCAAAGTTAAATCACTATTAAGTCTATAATCTCTTTATAATCTCTAATATTAGTTGCTTTAGGAAAGTAAAAATCAATCCATTTGACAGGTTTGAAAACTAGAAAACTAGACTGTTTACAAAGCATCTCGATCGATCTTGGTATGTACATATGATACTTATAGCACTTTATAGAGTGAGAGCTCTAAACCCGTGAAACAAAAATAGTGGTGTATTAGACAAACACGAACACAGAAAAAGATGAAGTTAGAAGGTGAACTTAGCAATTTCACGGATTTTTAACCACACTCTAATGAAATCAAAGCTACTTTTTATCAAAAAGAAAACTAATTGTCGTGGCGCCATTGAAAATGAATACTAATTGTTACAAAAATTAACCAAATAATGAATTTATAAAAAAAATCTTTTTACATGATGCATCAATCAATGAGTAGAAAACAACTGTACATGCAAAAAATGTACAATAAAAAAAGATTAAAAACAATCTATAAACAATGTTAATAACGAAATTAATGTACAAACTATGATACAGATTCACAATCAACTAGAGTGATTACCAATCGTCTTTGAAAAGACAGACCGTGCTTAGTTGTATTGACGTATCGAAGAAGACTGCGGACTGCGGACTGCGGACTGCGGTTTTAGATGGCGGAGAAAAGACGGTCGTTCATAAGGTTATTAAAGTGACGCCATTTTGTGTAACAGTCCGCCTAAGCCGTTTTTGCCTTTTCGTTAGAAAAAATAGACGTAGTTATGAAGTTTCTTATTGAGATTTAGGGGTTTCAATATGTACGAGAGCTTCCATCGAGCTTTCGTTCACAAAATGGCGCCACTGTCCATTTTCTCGTCCCCTAAAAACCGCTGACTGCCGGCAACGCAGGCTAGCATGAAAGTAGAGTCAAATATCTACTACATCATCCTTACYAGTCACTCACAGACGACGGATAATCACTCTWATAAACYAAACYATTGTGCACCCAATAAGCAGACAAAGATGGCGAWCTACTTTACCCAGTAATTGTTTGSARCCTCATTAGTATAGTGGACAAAAACGTTTTGGAAATCTGTCTAAACTCACTTAGAATTAAGTCAGTTTCCAACTGATCACGTGTAAAACCTGAGAACTATATGAAAAAAGAATGCTACGATGTATTTAGGAATTCAAACTAGTAAACACCACAATAACCTCAAACGCGAAAAACAAACAAGTAAAACTGAACAAAAGTAGAAAACAAGGAAATTCAAGAAATCTWAATGCTGTCTAAAACATTTGGAATAGCTACTTAAAAAGAGAAGTTGCTTTCAATGGAAAGAGGAAACGCCACCTTTGCCAGCCAATTGGATTTTACTACGCTGTCGCCACGAGAAAAATAATGACCTACCCTCCCATCCCGTAACAAAATTAATGTTAACATTAGGTTTTAGTATCCATGACCAATGAAGTTTGACCGTCACAAAACTTACTCTTTACTAGAAGACCAGGGCTGCTTCCATATCTCRGCTGTACTATACCCACTCATTGTATCAAAAGTCCCCCCAGGGGACTCGGGCTCGGGAGCTTCCAGACTAGAGTTGAACGTCAAAGACTCATTCGTACTAGTAGCACCAGAAGTGGGGATTGGATACTGGTCACCCCAGATGTTTGGTACAGGGGCTGGTCCCCAGGTTTCCTGGGCTACAAATGACGTGTTTTCGTGTGTATCAACTCCAGACMAGTCTGGTGACACAGCACTGAACAAGGCATCAACTGGGTCGGGCTCACCCTCTTTATTCTCGCCAGGAAATGATGGCGCACAATGGGACCAGCCATCCGTAGTAGGCATGTTTCCAGAATCCCAGATCTCCGCTACACTTTTGAAATTGAGCGCTGTTGGGCTGGTGTTGTCAGTGCCCAGGAAGTTTACCCAGTTATTAGCACGTGGTACTTGTTTGTCATCGCTTTCAAATGGTGGTGGTACACTAAACAAGCTGTGAGGATTCTCACTAGAAGGACTTGACCAAACACTAGGTCGACTTCTACCAACATCTCCAGAGGCACCGGAAACTCCAAACGCACTCAAATCCAAAGGGCGATCGATCTTRGGCGATGCTCGTGGATCCTCACTATTCGCCAAGGAATTAAAAGGCGTACTTTCAAACAGAGAAGTGCTTGGAATAGGSGAAAAMTGGGATGCTGAAGGACGTTGGATGGTAGGACTACGCGAACCAGGAGCCAGAGCAGAATCTGCAGATGTTGACCATGGAGTCTTCTTAACCGAAGATAAGCTGAAGGGATGGTACGAAGGCTTCATCGAGCGGAAACCAATTGATGCAGCTAAAATAGAAGAACACCGGCTTAATATATCAAATAGTGCACAGCGAGGGGAAGAGAAAGATGAAGGGGGAATGGAATAGACGAAGTGGGAAATGATAAATGGGGAGGGGGGATAAATAAATGAAGAGTATTTAAAAAAGAAATAAAGTAAATGATTAAAAAAATAACAAACCCTGATCTCCAAGAGGCATGGATCTCGATGATTTTAGTCGTTGTTTCAATGCTTTAGTCAGMGAACCACCTTTTCCTTGGTCACTTCCTGAAGACGATCCATCACTACTAACGATACTACTGTAGCTACTGCTTCTGCTGCTGCCACTAAGATTGGTCGGTGAAACAAGCGGTGGTGAGTCGGACAGACGATTCAATGTTTTATCAAACGCTTTTCTTTTTCCTTCTCCCTCGTCGAAGCTGTTATCTCTTGTGGATGTTTGAAGACTCTTCTCAAGTCTGAGATGTGACATCACTTTGGCGGCAATGTCGTGTGGTGACTCACGTGACTCTGCTTGTATGGCTCCAACACGTTCTTTTGCTTTGGCATTGAGGTCGTGTGACTTGGGTTTCCCYGCTGTCTGGTTKTCATGTTTCTTTCCTTTGGATTCACTTGGTGAGACTTGGTTTTTTCTTGCTTTTGTCTTGTCGTTCGTTCCTTTGTTTGAAGTGTCAAAACGCTGAGGGCTCTTCTCTGTCGGTACGTCTAGTCGAAGACCAAGAGAGACTCTATCAGTCTCGCCTTCATTCCCACTTTCATCTGAACATCCCACATCGTAATAATCTGCTTGTCGTCTGGCGCTGTTTTTATCTTTCGTCTTATTTCTTGGTTCTTCGCGTCGATTGAATGCTTTGGATTTCTTTTTGGATTTAGATTTCACATCTTTGAAGTCCTTGACAAAATTCATGGAAGTTTCACTTTCCATTTCCTGTACGCTGGCGATAGATTGCTTCAGTTCCTCTATTTCAGCCACAGCTGGTTTGTAGTCTCGTTTAATCGTCGAATCTACGGTGTTCCTTGACGGTTCTTTATGCCTAATCTTTGGTTCATGACTATAGGGGTATGGTCTTGTATCACTGACTGGTAATTTATTAGATTTATTGGAATTATCACTTGGTGGRGATTTCGTGTTTTTGTTCTTGTCTTGTCTTGTACCTGGGGAATTCTTATTCACATTGTTGTTGATGGAGTTCGRTGCTSCTGAAGGAGACTCTCCATGCTGTCGATCACTGGTTCTCGAATCTTTCAGGTCGCGTCGTGGTTTTCGGACGTTAACTTGACGTTCTTCTTTACTTGTTCTGTGAAMGAAAAASGAACAAATTGGTGAATTAGTTATGCAGAGCTAGGCTCAGTCTACAATAGGGTGGTTSGTGAGAAAGTGAAGGTCGAGCCCTTCATGGCCCGCACATTCTTCAYTTGGAAGGATTTTAAAAATTTCACTAATCTCTTAGATAAACGTGTCTCTTGATCCCTCTTTGTCTCTTTAAGTKGTAAAACAAAACATTACGAACGATCCTCTTCTGCAAGATACTCCACRTGAACATCGGATGAGGCTAGTATTKACAAGAATGCGTAATGTTCTGTCCAGTGCGAAATTTAGATATGATTTTATATTTTAATACYCGAACGCAAAAGAAGAGGTGAAGACGAGGCGCAAGGAGAACAATTCTTTTGCATCCCATVAGCCTCGTTTTCAATTCTTTAGTCCAATCAGGATATGGAAAGAGGTCTATTGCAAATTTTCAAATGAATTCTTACTACTTGATTGTGCATTGTGGTCAAMTTTCGACCAACATTTAGGAAAGRTAATGAAATTCAARAGATKTATTCAGCTCAGTGCAGTCAACGTTAGTTTGTGCACGCGTTTTAGAGTCTTTAAAGCATCTGTAGGGAAGCCMTTGTWAAGGAGCTTTTACTTACTTTGGCTTGACTCCTGCTATAGCTTTCAAATCAAATACTTGTCCACGTTCCTCACAGTTCAGTAATAGATTAGCAGTAGGTAGAGATATTCCTAATATGGACCGTGCTTCTGAATAGGCTGCAACAACWACACCGACGAACATGATTACCATGACAACTACCGTGAACAATTGAAGGACTGGTTCCCAGCTACTATGACCCATGGCTGCTGCACACAGGGGGAGGATGTGGGGAGGAATTGTTGCTACAAGAGTGAACACCATAACTGGACCAAACGTTGTTTTGACTTCCAATCGACGTGTSACYCGTGACATTGTGAAGTCAGGTGTAAACCTGAAATCATTAACAATTGTTAATTGTATTAGAGCAATGAGTTAATTAGTCAATGAATAATTCATCAATCAATAAATCAGTTAGCCATTCAATCAATCAATCAATTAGCCAATCAATCAATCAATCAGTTAGTCAATCAATCAATCAGTCAGTCAATCAATCAAATCAAATCATCAATCAATCATATCATCAATCAATCAATCATTTCATTAATGAACACATCAGTTAATAATTCATCAATCAATCATCGGTAAATTAAATAAAACATAATCATTAAGCAACATCTTAATCAATCAAACAATCGATCGATCGATCAATCAATCAATCACGTAAGTGACAATTTATTAATCCATCAATGATCTATGATTAATAAATATTTATCAAATGAAACATATCTTATCAATCGCTTCCTCAACATAAATACTTACGCGATTTCAATTTTTCTCGAGGAATTAGGATTGAGAATAAATGATTTGCAGTTTAGRATTTTAAATCCATATCCTTCGCATTCTCTACCATTGATACTGAGGGAACTGACAAAGATTGCTAGTTGACCAGGATTGGTTGCTGTTAAGACTTTCTTYACTGATAGTGGTGGCTGGGAATGGGAGCGACTCGACGGTTCTGCAAAGTAACAGATTTGATATTAATTCATTATTAACCCAAATTATTAAAATTTGTTTAACAGGACATCTTTCATTAAGATTGACGTTAATAATCTGAACAATGTGAATATAATCCTGCCAAAAACAAAAAAACTTAGTATTGTGTTGTTGCCTCTTTTGTAGCGCAGCAATGTTGCCTGGCAGAATAATGGTGTTTCAAAGTCACTCCCAGCAATGAATCAGGGAAGGGGGCTGAAAAGATATTCTTCGTTTTAAAATATACGTCACAGCGTCCATCTTGGATGAACCTCATTAAAGGATTTCTCATTAGTATCTATCGTTCATTCATCCAACATGGCTGCCGGTCAATTTTTTTCTGAATCCCATTGGAATGATTGAAAAGAATCAATACAGTGAATTTCTTAGACACAATGATCAAAAAACTACAGCAGATGGTATGGTAGAGGTGTTAAGGGCCGTATTGACAGTAGTCTCCTCGCAGCCGTGTTTACTTTTGGTCACGCGTCACGCAACCTCTCCACACAGAGAGAGGTTGGAGAGAGGTTGCGTGACGCGTGACCGAAACTAAACACGGCTGCGAGGAGACTATATTGACAGTAAAATCTAATAAAACATCAGATAAGCCCCACTTACTATGACAGTCAGACAAATGACTTGACCTCAACTCAAATAACAATGTACTGTGGGCACCAGGTAGTTTAGAATTCAGCATAAACTCTCCCTTTGCACCTTGTCCTTGTACAGTAACAGCATCAAGCACAGTTAGGTTATTTCTTATTAGAATTATAGACGAGTGCGTCTTGTCGTCTACTGGTGAAAACTGTAGCGGTAAGTGAGTTTTAGAACGAGGTTCTAGTATTGTAACGTAAGTAGAAGGAGCTGGTGCCACGCCCAACACCCCTTGAACCACAGGGGTTACGCCTAGYGATGATGTATTGGTATTGTTTACCTGAAAGTATAAAGCAGACATTTAATTGAATCATTAATATTAACAAATCAATCAATGAACTTAACAACTAGTCAATATTATYCATCTGTCAATCAATTGGTAAACAACTAATTAATCAAGCAYAAAACRGCAGCAAAGAACAGAGATGTCTGSATGCGGARGGTGAAGGTCTTAKGCACCTACTTGTGCAATGAKTYAAAATGATGATGATGATGCACAGATTACATCATTATCAATTAGTCTGTCAATTAATCAATCAATTAATATAATAATAAATATTGATTGATTGACAGAYTAATTGATTTATTACCAATAARTCATTAATTAATCATCAACTRATTACWAAGGTACTGCTGCCCTCACCTTTCCTGTTTCAACATTCGGCAAAGAGAAYACACTGTCAATTTCTTCCAGATCAAATACATCAACRCCAAACCGTTCAGCTACAATATCTAACAGCCCTTGAAGCTTGGGATATTTTGATAAAGAAACAATTTGAACAACTACCGGMACATCAGCTGGATTCTCCAGGCAAAAGTGCTTGATGGAATAATTTCCTATTTGTGTGAGAGGAAACTTGATTGGTTTATCAGGCGCTAAGGACGGCCATGTTAACGTTGCTGTTGCCATGACACGTATTCCTTGTGCTAAATCAGTGTCAATCACTAAAGTTGTATTTATTCTACAAGAAGAAATTCATAGATATAGGATTAAAATTTGAAACAACACTAAATATGGCAGCTGTACAGCCAGGGCTAAACATAACAGACATATCAGACAATGTCTGGTTGAAGAAGGTGTTGTTAATGGCATAATTTCAGCTGGAAGACTACAGCGTTTGACAAGAAAATGAGAGAAAAGCACAGTATATTATAACACTAAGTACCTATTTTTTCCTGTACGTTTTAAAGAGTCGTACGCTCTTTGTAGTTTTTCTACATAGTGACTGTCTATATCTACCACATCATGGGGTAATGTGAGGGTTTTTAGCCATTTTGTTGCCATTGCYGCRTTACTTGTACCAAGTCCTACATAACAATTATCTTTACAGCCTTGGAGAGGATTAAATATTACGCTACCAATCTGAAACACAACACCACTCTTGATTATCAAACTTTTTTTGTACAGAATTGATATATTTTGTTACAAATTGTTTATCATGATTTTCTACAACGTTTTATAAAGGCAAACCAATAAAAACAAATGAGCAATTGACTCTGATAGCCAAACAATGGATGAGCAGAAGGACGCACCCATTCTCAAAGAAGTCAATCTCCAAATTCACTAACCTACCAAATGATGAATCCATTCACAAACAAAATGGTCCATCAACTCACCAAATTACCCAACAATAAAAGTCCTTTAATTACCCATTCTCACCACATAGCAACTGCTCCAAATGTCCAACAATTAACTTAAACCATCAAGCAGACAGCTTAACTGGACTTATCTACTTGAAAATTCACAAACCAAACACTAATAGTCTCCTTCACAGTTACCTGCACCATCTTGAAAGGTAGCCGTGCCTTTGCATTGAAGCAAGACGACCGTTGAGCGTGCAATGATAGATACCTGTGAATAATTGTCTGTAGGTGTGAAAGAAGGTTTCTATCATTGCAAGCTCAAAGGGCGTCTCGCTTCGATGCAAAGGCACGGCTACCTTTCAAGATGGTGCTGGGAACCGCAAAGAAGACTATTGTACTGAAGTACAAACTCACAAAAAGGATAATAGAAAAAAGACCATATYTACTTACTATATCATTACTTTCTAGAGGTTCAGTTTTATTGAGTTCAAAGTCAAACTGTGGATCTGGTGGTTCAGGTGTTACTGACAGTAATKTTAAAGGTTGTAAGAATGTGCTTGTTAGCGACAGACTTGACTGTTCAATACGACCCTGAGAACGTAAAACAACAGATAAACTTCATAAATAATGAAATACAATAATCAATGTTTTGTTTAATACTATTCAAGATACAAAAGYAGTACAGACATGAGTGACATGGCAGTGTGCCTACATKRCTTACCGGAAAACAAGGTTGAAAATTTACAATTTTAGGAGATGGGAATACTTTTCCATCCATTGCTTTAAAATAAATAGGGATATGAAGCATCTGAAAAATGAAAACATATGTATCATAAATGAACCTTGATTTTGTAAGAATTGTTCTAGCTTTTGTAAAATAATACTTTCTTAACTTTTGACCCTAAATTCAAACACAGATTGAGCAATTACACGAAAAAAGACCCCCCCCTCCAAAAAAAAATCAATCAATCAATCAATTAATAAATCAATAAAATAACAAATTATATCTGTACGCAATTGATAAGTACCTTCACTCAACCTCACCTCAAAATCTGTAGTAATTTCAAATTCACCAGTGTAACGTCCTGGTTTCTTTGGGACATTTACTTCAACACTAAACACTGCTACATAATCAGGTTTCACTGAAACTTTATCATGCTCAAGTGGACGCGATTTTATGGATGTACTGTTCTTGCTGTCCTTTGGACGTACTTCAAGAAGACGAATTGATGCATACTCTACAGTACATGTTATTTTGGATATTGTAACCTGGAAAATTAATAAACAGTCACAATTTAGTAATCATCATCATCAACATCATCAGCATCATCACCACCACCACAACCACCACCATCATCATCATCAGCATCATCACCACCACCACCACAACCACCACCATCATCATCATCATCATCATCATCATCATCATCATCATCATCCTTTGCTCTGTCATAACCAAGATTTACCTCATTTTGTGGGTGCGTACACACTAAATTGTTACTATCACATCTTAGGAAGAAAAAAAGCAATCAACTTGCAAACCAAATCTTCACACACTTCACTAAAAGTAAGTTAGATTTCYTTCTCTTTTTGTTTTCAAAGGGAGTTCATGGACGCCCTGTGATCTACCCTAAACTATGCCCCTGTTTTGTTCCATCATGGTGACCATTTTCAGTACTATCACTACCATCTGTCAGAATTCCCATCATCYATCATGTATGCATGTATCTTACCTCAATTGGATTATTATTATAAATTCTCATCAACTTYGTTCTGTTTTCTCCAGTTCCAACTGTTCCATAATCAACAACATCTTCCTCTAAGCTTTCAACAACATACTGAAAAACAACAGATGAATTCACAAATAAATGAATGATGATTATTATGGCTTGCATTCACGAACAAAGATCATGAGAGATGTCCATATTAACTGCAGACCCAGTCATGGATTATGAGGCCAATACAATGAATGATTGAATGAACGAATGAGTATTTATGAATAAATGAAAGGATGAATATAAAATGTAATAACTTAAATGAATAATTTATATTCACTTTTGTTCCCATAACCTTGAAAGACAAAGAAATCATACTCAATGCAGCTTTCCAAGATTTGCAATGAGTTTATGTATGAATGCAAAATTAATGAATACTAAAATATTGTACCTTTAGTTTTCCATTGTAGCAGTGAATAGGTATTGTAAATATTGATGCATTTGTATACACTCTTAGAATTGTAGAAAAAGATAAATCTGATGCATTTGCCAAGAACTCCAAGTAAAATGGGGARGCTGTTGTTTGTGATGAAATCATTGCAGGTTTGGACAAATTTACAACCTAATGAGAAACATTTCAAACAAAAAAGCTTAATCTAGACTGCATTCAATAAATAAATGATTTTTATTCAATGATGACTCCTGGAGCAAGTTATCTGAAGCTCGATTAGTATTAATCCAGGRTTAACCCTGTAGCTTTTCTTAGAGTTAACCCAGGATTAGCACTAATCAAGCTTTGAACAGCCCAGTACTGTGCAAATTTTCTAATTTGCATCCCACACAGTATAATTCATTATATCTCTGCATTCCTGTTGTTTAGTTTGTTTTCAATTACCTCACATATAATATTATTTGGTATACGATATGATATTGTACTGCTCATGAGCAGTATGACATTACAGCACATACAGAGATGACACAATCCAACCTTATGTGGGGTCTGGTTGGTAAGTGTRCATGCTCTRTTCAAATGAATTCACATATGCTAAGAAGTTTGATTTWTATTTTTGAGTGGTGAATATTGAGCAGTTTTTGCGATCACGAAAGGCGSATCACAATAAATTTTCAAACTATTGCGCRACAGTATTGCAATAGAAGACTAACTATTGTGATAGTATTGCRGKAGTATTGCATGAGTACACAACCAATATTTCAGCAATAATACATGTAATAAAGAAATTCATTYTTGCACTTGAACAGGGCTAAACAATTCTTAAATGGATCCCACATATACACCCTTTTAATAAGTCCCGATGTATCGAGTTCTCCGCAYTTGACGTCAAATTTATTCTTTTGAAATGTTTACAATACAAAAGGAATTCAAAAGAATAAATTTGACGTCAAGTGCGGAGAACACAATACCTCGGGACTTATTAAAAGGTGTATAGCAATACGGCAGTTTAGTTAGCAGACAGTCGCATTTGAATGATGACTTTGTTTACACACAGAAGACAATCAMAATGTGATAAAAACAACAGTCACGCCACTACACATTACATGAACATACTATAAAACTAAAGAAGAACTTACTTTAAATATGTTTTCAACTTCTTGAGGAAAGGTAGCCTCATAAATAACCATGGTAAAACTGAATGTATTTGTGATGGGTAATTCACGGAGTACTGGTACAAATGGTGACTGACCAACGTAGAATCTTGTCTTACTGACAGAGTATGCAATAGTTCTATAAATTGAATATACGTGTTAGGCTTTGAAGTTTTCCTTTTATGACTTAACGATGAAAGGTTCTAAGTACAGTTCTCAGTAAAGTTAACTGAGCCTATGCAACAAAGTGAGTGGTAGATACCGTTTGTTGATATAATAGTCTCTCTGTGCCTTAACATCAAAGCGAGACAACTGTTGAGTGTGCAATGATAGATACCTGTGAATAATTGTCTGTAGGTATGAAAGAAGGTTTCTATCATTATACGCTACCTTTAAAGATGGCGCAGGGAACCGTGAAGAAGACTATTCACAGGTATCGATCAATGTAAGCTCAACCACTGTTTGGCTTTGGTGTAAAAGCTTGGTTAACTTTCAAGATGGTGCTATGAACTATAGAGCAGTATTACTGAAATACTGCAGGTGTAAACTTACCCTTGTAATACATTGGCTTGATAAGGCAGCTCAAGTCTACTGGATACTTTGCTTGTAGTTTTAATGATTATTTTTCCACTCATTTGTTTGCTTCTTTTAACGTGATAAGCTGAGAACAGTAATAATTTGGCATGAATAACCATTGAATATYATCAATTATCAAACTATTAGGAAAACATTTACATCAGGTTTTGACTAYAGATTATCTGCATGAATAATAAATCTACATAATGATGCCTAATAAACCTCATAAATTATTAATAAATCTCAATAGTTATTAATTTCTACCTGAATAAGTAACTGTTGCTATTTTGAGATACTTTGATCCAGGTTTTAAGATTATAGGCTAGAAATGATGTAAAATGATAAATTATTAGTAAATGCTGGATAAACATTTAAAATTATTTCAAAAGATAATATAAGAAATTCTCAAACTTACATTAAATGTTACAACTACTGCAGTATTACTTGGCTCCACCGCCACTGACTAAAGATTAAAATAATATGAATAAGTATATAATAATGAAAAAATAATAATGAAAAATAAATAAAGAAATACACTCAAACAAATAAACCTATGAAAGTGAAAATTAAACTGTGTTTATCCATTGCAACCCCTCCCTCCTGCAGGGAACAATTCAGGGAGGAACTTTCCCTGCAGGGGGGAGGGGTGAGAACAGATGTACACAGGCTAAGAGAAAATGAATTAATGAATGGATGAATAAATAAAGCTATGAATGAACAAATAAACAATAAACATCAATGATGAGTGTATAGAGAAAGGAATACATAGCTTCCTTTTCAATGAAGATTTTCTCATACTTCACTAGTCACTATATAGTAGTAAAATATATAGTGATAGTACATTACTTTAGTACAACTTACTGTAATATGAGCTTGTTTTGAACCAGAATTTAAAATATACACACCAACAGCCTTAGGTTCGTCTTAAAGACAAAACATGTTTCCATAGTGATATTTCTATTATGACATCATAACACGAGATCCTCAAACTTACCCATAGTTCTTAGAGTACCAAAGTCAAGAAGATCTACTGAGGCAAACAGCCCTGGTACTGAAGTAACAAAAAAATATTTATTAACATCATAAAATGCAAATAATCTTAATTTTATTTTTCTTTCATTTCATCGTAATTATA